CGATGGTCCTTCACACAACAGATTGAAGCAACCCAGATTCAGGTCAGAGGGCTGTAGGAAGTGGCTGCCCACGACAGAACGTTGGCCCAGAACGTGGGTTTTCCATTCTCATCTTTCCCATAGCAGAGAGGAACGTAGGCACATGATAAGATGCACAGCTTCCAAATGGGATTTTTTTTTCAGGCACTGCTAACAACTTTGCTGCTTTACAAATGTCATAAATTAAATGAGATTACATAAAAAGTCCATTCTAATTTGATTGTTAAATGTAATTAGATTCTGTATTAATTTTTTTCTATGGCAAATTTATTACCTTTAGGAAGATTTGCAATACAGTATAAATTGTAGCTCATAATTAGAAGTCAGAGTAATACTGAAACGAGTTTTTGTTTTATTAGCTATTACAATTCTAAGAGCGATTGATTTCTTCTTTTAGAAAGATCTGTTTCTTTACTCGACAAGTCAGAGGATATGAACAAAACACTTCAGTTTAGCTACCATCATGTCACTTACAAAATCAATAAACATAGGCCTTTATTATGAACAACATTTGCATTAATTTTGGTCTTACATCATGGAAAAAAGAAAATTGAGATTTTTTTTTCTGCTTCACTGGATAAAGTAGAAATATTGTCTGTTGGCCAATGTATTAACCAGCACACAAATTCTATTTGTTAGACGAATCCTCATTTCTAGCTGAATTTTTTTTGATTGATGCAAAACCTGATCTAGATCCAATGAATGCTTGAGCATTTTTCCTGTATTTGTTTTATTAATGAAATAAGTTGTACCTTTTTATGCTACATATTCTGACCCACCAAAAAAAGAAGAAAAAAAAAACTATCCTAGTGCTGATCTCACTGAGATTGGTTTATTTCAGTTGAAATACTTTTAAGCCGTTACAAAATGCTTGTGATAACAATAGCTTGTATCTCACTATTCTAAACCAGCAGCATAACAAACGTGATTTTGGTGTGCTAGGATCCTTCATCTAGAGTGAATAACTAGCGATCATTTCAGACCTTATCGGTGCAATTCCCCACCTTTTCTGAGTGAAACCTGCAATGAACCAGAACTTCTCTTTCATTTTTTTTTGCTACTTCTCCTATATAATCTGAGAATGAACCAGACCTTTACGATAGAAAGTTTCACCATTCCCATCTCCAGGTGTTAGTATGATGCAGACCATTGATTTGTTTAACTCCAGTCAGTTTATCTAAGATGACAGATTTCCAGTGATGACTTTAGCCTATTTCCAGAACAGAAGAAACTGTTTTTACTAATTTTCTTTTGTAAACTTAATTCACTGTGAAATACTCAAAGAACTGGATGCACCAGCTCTTGCCAGACAACAGATTACTGGATATGAATAGTAGATGTTCTGTGCTTCCAGATTTGCTTCTTTTGCTATCATTAATTTCCTGCTAGGTTAGGCAGCCTCCTCTTTTACCTGGTCTTCAGGCTGGCAATGCTTCCAAGTGGCTGGTCTGTGCATTCTGCTCAGTTTAAAAAGAAAAGCAAA